GTAACTCTACCGTAAGAGGCTTCACCATCATGGTCATCGTGCCTCGAGCAGAACCGAAGCGAACCGTTATGAACCGTCATTATTTTTGCAAGCAACACTTGCCTCGAAAACCTGACTCTTTTACTACTCGTCAAATTCATACGTAATTGATCGGACGACCGATCCACGGAAATAGCTGAATATTTATATAATCCTCGTTCCTGGTTGAACGGTGCCGATGTGCACACCTCAACAGGTATCTGCAAAAGGTGAACCGTTAACATTTGCGGTGATTTTAATCACGATACCAGGTATATCCTCACTGGACACCTGATTGTTTTTGTGGAAGAGCCGGTCAACAGGATCTGAATATTCACTTAGTTCAGAATTATTTGACAAGCGTTCAATGATAATTGGAAGAAAAAAAAAAGGAACAAGATAAGCATCCCTTAATTAAGGATATTGTTGCCACAAGTTGTACGCAACAACTCGTCCAACAACAATGGCCAGCATAGCCAACTATCTGGCAATTGAAGATGAAAAACGTTCGACCCACTTTCGAGTTTTAGCCAACTTGCTGATTATCTGTTCAGGATCCTTTTCTACGGACAAAGACTCCGATTGCTCGCGTGCTTCTTCGCGAAACTGATGCTTATCCTTTTGGAATATCGATGCATCCTACGCGCCTACGTATACGTCCATGGTCAGACCATCGTTATCTTTTCTTTATGAAATCAAAGATTTAAAAAGTGCCCGTTGTTCGCTGATTTTTGCAACCTTGCCTTTGCCGTGCTTCGTTGCGTTCGCGATCGAAACCGTTGCGTCAACTTGTAATACGTATAGAAAATACGTAAAGATGAAAATGTAAGTAGGAAAAGAGGTAACACAATTCGCACATTACTCTTTCATCACCTTTGATCCCTTGCGGGGTTCTTCGCGCGTCAATCCTACTCGATTTCTTGGAAGATGATTGATCTTTTGGTTTTATTAAGATATTAGGAGGAAGAAAAAACACTTGTTTCGAAAATTGGCAGACTCATCGTTAAAAATTCTTCTTCCATTTCAGGGTAATACCCTTTAAGTGTTGGCAGGGTCGAAGGTCAGAGTTAACAAGAAGTTAAATCTTGTCCGCTTTCCTTGAAACGAGATATTCTCGTTTCTTCGCAACAAGCATAGAAGGAAGGTCGCGAGGTGCATCATTCGTCATCCACCTCTTCTTTTCGCACGACCTTCTAATTTCCTCCGGGTAAAAGACACGAGATAGCTCAGCTGCAGTCTACCTTTAACACTTCCCTTCTCTAATTAATGACATCATTACTATTTTTAATCGTCTGGTTGATGCGATTCACTCATCTTCCGAATGAATCTCAAGGACCTCTCCGCTTTTCGCTTCGATGCTTTTTCGCGCGATGATAAATTCTTTTGTTTTAAGCGAGACTTGCGCGATTATCGAACATGTTTCAAGCCTACTCTATTATATGTATTTAATAGTCACCATTTTTACTCGTTCTTAATCTGTTCGACATGCGTTTCTAAAATGATTTTGCCTTCAGAATACTTGTGTCTCGTGCAAAGAATGTCGAGACGAAGAATACCGTTATCGGGTATTCGAATACGCGACGCAGGATAAGGAACGGTAATACTCGGTCTCCCTGGCCCTGGCCACGGGATATCCCTCTGTTTGCGGTTTTTCTGCTCGCCGAGCTCCGTTGTCTTCTTTGTTCCTCATTGTCAAGGATCTTTCTGACTCGCGTGATGACTGAACCAAGTGTAACAGTGCTTTGACCACTGGACGCGCGATTTTAATAACTTCCGTTGCTCTTCGTGCAAGATTCGAATAACGAGTTTTGCTTGAGATACGTTATACGGTACCGATCATACTCTAGATGCAACAATTGGTTCTGTCAATTTCGAGTCTGAAGTCAAGAGTCACGAGTAATCCGATAGAAAACAATGAATCACTTGTAGGATCGATCGCGTGATCGATCGGCTCGCTCGAAAAGATTCACGCGATCGTTACGATTCACCTTCTACGGAAGCTTGCATCCTTTGCAAACTATGCTAGTCTTCGTGCATTAACGTGTTTTTTCCCGTCAAACTCGACATCACTTATTTGCATGCATCGATTAAACGTGCTGTTGAGATAACGGTAAAATAAAAGTTTATAATTTATGACTCGTCTAGACGAATTCTGTTTGCGAGAAAAGATAAATTATAACGATCAATTTAATTATAAACGAGTGCAATTCAGTGATGAAGATAAGAAGGGAGTAGGATTTGCAAGTTTCACGAATAAAGCAAGTATGGAATAAATTCACGTGTAACGGGAACTCGAAGGAAGGAAGCGTCGTTGACCGCTTAATAATCCTGCAATCGTCATTAGCCAGCATCATTTATAACCCCTTCTCTTTTCCTATTTATGGTCCACTTGACCGTGGCTTGAGCTGGATAATTATGGATTCGCGAAACGTACAGTTACGGGCAACTCTTATTACCCGTATTAAACTAGGAATATACGGATATTTCGTGAACCCAAGAGTAACCTATCGGTGATAAAGGTCATCTAAAAAATAACGGTTTTCTAGCTGTCTATTATCTCATCGAAGCAACAGTTCTAACAAATTCTTCTATTAAAATTCAAACGAACAGGCACAAGCACTGATTGTGAGACAAATTGTTGTAACAATCTTTCAAAATGATTGAGTTATCGGAAGACGAAGAAATAAATAGATAGCTCCTAAGAGATCCCCTATCGAGAAACTGATCCGCAATTTATTCCCTTTAAAGATCAAAACAACCTACCTAATTGAAGTGCTCTATAAAACTTGCTAACATTATCCTAATTGCTGACTTAAATGCGAAATTAACATGGTTCACGGAGTTGAGTGGATGTTCGTGATAAGGTAGAGCAATCGTTTAACTTAATGATGGGGATACTGTTGCTCCAGATGAAATGGTTGTCGAAGGAAAGATAGATGTTGGAAGAGAATATTTCGAAAAATATTCTCACTCTAAAACGACTAAAACGTTGATCCCTTCAAGATAATCGATACAGATGCAGCGTTGACGTGAGTTATAAATTACACGTTAAATTAATCGTCATGGATAACTGTTGACTAGAAGAAATTAATTAACTTTTTTATCTTTTAATATCAATGTGTCGTTACAATCACTCGAGTTGGCAATCTCTTGGAGAATCGAAGCGAAACAACTTTCATCCAGGATCATTCAACGAGTCGGAAAAGTGAATCTTGCAATGATTTCATACGAAAGCAAGTGCCATCCGTGTCATTGTTCTGATTTGGTTGGTCGTGATCGTTTGTTTGGCTTCTCAAAGAGAAACCGCGCCTCGAAAGAAAGTTACTTTTTTTTCATTTCTTTGGCCTTTGCATGCGAACGAGTTTCATCTCATCTTGCAAACGACCATCGTTTTACCAACTATGTATTACTCTCAGCGTGAAATGTGCATCGTGTGATAAATCAACGTTACGTTTATAGTTATCTTCATCTTGGATATCCAATTTATAAAATTGTAAAGGGTTAAGTAAGAACTTTTTATATCCTTTGAAGGTAGAAATGATCTCACTTTTCAATGAGTTTCTCCATAAAAGTCAAGGTATTCGAGAAATTTTTCAACAAGTTGCTTCTCTCTATCCTCGATGTTCCTCCACGCGGAAACCGCACTCTCGTTTTAGCTATTTTACTCTACCGAAAGTGTTCCGAATGACAAACGAATAGTCGTTCATTTTTCAAGTAGAAACACGCCATACCGTCGCGATATCTCGTTAGAGCGAACGTTAAAAAGTAAGAGTCGAGAAGCGGGGACATCGAGTATCAGGATAAAAAGTGGTCGGTCTCATTAAACGTCTGTTCAGAGCAACGTAATCGACGGAAACGTTATATAAATTCATTATTCTGTAACGTTGGATTTTCCCTCGGTTTTTCTCCTCTGTTATTACATTCAGTTTCTTGAATTACTTTTTTCCTAAGAAATTTATACAAACGGGGTAGTTTATATGGTTATAGGAAATTTCATTTTATCGAAAGATATATTTAAATGATGTATAAACCTTTCTTCGAATTCACGTAACATGGATCATGGTGAAATTCCATTCGACGCGACGCGACGGTAGGTAAAAGGTAAAAGATTGAAAGTGTTTGGCTGCCGCCGCCGCCGGTTGTAGGGGACTTTCGATTCGCATCGATGTCGAAGAGACAGAAGAGAAGGAGGATGAAATAGTGTGTTAGTCTCAAGTTTATAATCGTCATCTCGTTTCGTCCTGTTTGCAACTTGTCTTTTATCCTCTTTCTTCTCTTCTCTACGTGTCTTTCTCTGATCGCCATACGAGAATCTAGGTCGCACGGCTGCGTTCACCTTCCAGCAAAGCAATGTCTTTCCAACGAAGGTCGTCGTTCGTCTGCAAAGACTCTCTTCTTGACCATTTTTTCCCTTTCTTTCGATTATTCTTTCAATCGCCCAATCAACCCTAACCAACTGTTTTTATTTAAAAATCATTTATGTAGCAAGTCCCATTGTTCTTAACGTCTTAAAGGAGCATTATACTGTAAGTATAATAGCATTAGAACCAATGTTTGTTTGATTTTCTTTAATTATGAATTGAGATGTCTTTCTAATTGATCACCAGTTAATAGTGTGACAATTAGTTCGTAGTGTAAAATTAATTGAACGCGTTTCGATCAATCAACGGACCACTCCCTGGCGGCAGGTTAATTAGTCGCGTTCATAAACCGGTTATTGTTCCTGGAATCATTGTCATCGTGGCGGAGTGTTCATTGTATGCTTTAGAAAGCGCATCCCATGGAAAGCGTCCACTTTTTTTTATCTGATCATCACCGTTTGAGATCTGACAGGAAGCGTTTTCCATGAAAGAGAAAATTCAGTGGGTAAAATCCCTAGTCCGAACTATACCGAGAGAGAGATGGATGTGTTCTCGGTTAATTGACCCCGGCTAATTAGTTATCGCAGGCGTTGACAATTAGAAAGCTATTGTTATACTCACACGTAGACGATTGCTGGGGTATTTGGGCTGCATGTGTGGTGCTATGCCTTGCTATTGTCACCTGCAACAGATAAAAACAGAATGCTACTCGTTAGATTGGCTAGAACGTTCGTCTGTGTGTTCCTAAAGCCATGCTATGTAAAAAAAGAAGAGGAGGAGATTCTTGAACGTCAATATAATTGCTACTATTATACGTTACTATTAGCCAACGATACTGTTCGTGGAAGACACGTCGATTAATTGTAATTTTAATGGTAATTCAAGTGGCTGTGTCGTGAATCGTGAGCTACACAATGCCACCTTTTTCTCACCAATTAAATTTGATTAGCTGGATCGAAGGCCTCGTGTGAAAGGGCATAATGTCGATAAATTTCAAGCTCGAAAATAATGAAACGCTATGAAAACGAAAATTAAGGATGGTAATTGCTTCGAGACTTGTTCGAATTGCATAGAATATTTGAGTAGTAGCAGTAGAGAAGTTTGTAAACGTTTGAGAATGTTTAGCGATTGTGGTAAAGGAGGCAAGGGCACGTTCGAGACACCTTTTACTCCCTCGACACACTTTTATTTTCCAATCCATACCGATTTAGGTATCGAGAGAAACGCGTAGAACTCGCACAACGACCGTATTGCAACTTACGTGAACGTATAATTGTTCAAGTTGATTTGTTACACCTTATCTCTGTCATCGTTACGTCTTCTCTCTTTTTCTTACAGTCAGTGTCGTTGAACCGATTTAATTTGACATTATTTTATTTTCATATTTTGCAAAATAAAAAGAAGAATTCGTGTATAAAATGTAACGATCAAGTAGTTGGATGTCGATGAAAAGTGAGAGTCTGCGATACGTTTCTCGCCAAGTCGACGAGAGCCGTAGAGGCACGAAAACGTACGTATTAGAGAAATTGTCTAATAAACACGAACGTTAGCGTTGTTAATACATTCATATGATGGTGTGCGTCGATGAAAGTGGTTTAACGAGTCAGCAGCCATTTCGCATGAATCTATTCGAGTAATATACCTACACAGCACTATTCGCTGGAAGATATGGAAACGTTAACCGCGAAAGGTATAAACTTAGAAAACCGAAACAATACATTTGGTGTCGGTGCACTTCGATGCACTTTGAGTGAAGCGAATGCGAGATAAAATCTTTTATAATGTATTCGCTAGAAAAACATGTAAAAATTGAAGGGAAAAAAGAAGCGTGTCACGGTATAGCGTTTGATCGATTACGCGTAATAGTGGATCTCTATCGGAGCCATATACGGGTAGAATCGCATGCAGAAGCCTCGTTTCGCGACGTCCTCGACGATCATTTTCCATTCTCGTTTGCTGCATTCGATCCAATTACACATAATTGCAAGGATGCGGCGCAAGGTGCAAATCTAGTTTTGAAAAAATCTTAGCTGCAACGAGGATCAGACCGATCGATGAACGTAGAAAACATTATAGAAAATTCAAACGATTTTCGTTAAACCGTTGTTTCCGTTTCATAATTTTATCCTCGGTAGTTTTTCTGTTGAACAGACGGAGCATTATGCGAGTTATCAAGTGGATCAATGGGTAATCGGATCGATGTAGTGGCGGATCTAGCGTAGGTTGAGATCTCCTTGAAAAACGCCTCCTAACGCTGGATGGTGTTGCCTGTTGCTATAATGTTGGTTGCATTAGTCACTCACCTCTAAACGATTATTAGATCGCATGTGAGAGTCTACATGACGTCATTCCGTAAACCTAGCGTTAGGTAAAGAAAAATCTTTTCATGTAATAACATAAGATTATAGATTATTATTTTTCTCTTGAAAATCTACTTTGTTTCGTTGGTTAATATAATTTAGGACCGCGTTGTCAGTAAAGTCATCTACATTAAGTAGAAAAGTGTATTTACAGTTTGTCAAGGTGGAAAGTAGGGAGTAAGTTAACGTTTAAAAAGGGAACGTTTAGCGAGTTACTTCCGGTATATCGGTTCTCTTACCGAGTTCACAGAGAAATGTCTGTGAAAACGGGCTGCAGAGATCCTGAGCCGATATTTAAAAGAACACCAGGTAAAAGTAGGCGTGGCTGTTCCGAATGGATTGTCTTTCCTTCTCGTCTGCACATACATACAGAATGTTCCTGCAATGTTTGCAGATACGTATGTACACTTGGAAATTTCTATTTACTTAAGGACAACGACTTTTCGATTCTTTTCTTTTTCTATCCTATCTGCTTGAAACTTTCAATATTTTTCGAATTTCTATTTTCTAAATATTTGCAGACTTATTATATTGTAGGTAATATTCTATAAGTCCAGCTGAAAATTTGTACTTTTTGAGTAACGATCTCAGCGAAAAAATCTGCTCGAAACGCTTTCTGCTTTCTGCTTTCTGCTCTTGAACCAGCCAGTCGCTATTAAAGTGGACATTTTTGCGTTCTTTCCTTTCGTATGTTCCTTGAATATTTATTACAGGCTTACAAGCGGTATTTTATTTCCATTATTTAATTCAAGTTCACCGAAAAAGTTTTACACTTAACGCGATCGTTTGAAGAAATTCCATGCCGTCTTCCTAATCAGCGCAAATACCAGGATTTAACGTAATTGATGATTATTAAGTGTTACACAAACTGAAGATTGCAGCCACTTGAATAGGTTAACGACGTCAAATCCAACAATCTTTGTCAAGAGGACACTGTTTAGTCCTGAAACGTGATGTTTACGCCGTGATTATCGTGAGAGAAGAAACCAGTGTCTTCAGAAATTATAATGTCGAGTAACCTTCACTTTAAACAAGCATATATTAAAGAAAATGAGAGAAAGAGAGATCGTAATGCATCTCGTGCACACGAAAGAAAAACTATCGTTGAGATCAATATGAAATTTTCATAATTTACAGAAGGACGAAGCGATGCGACAACGATTAGACCATTGTAAACAGCTGTGGCAAACCAGTTAACGTTCAGTTAACCTCAAGTTGAAAAATTACACAGCATAGAAAATATTGCAGCTACTCGACACAGTTTTCCTGGCAGACGGTTTTACGGGACGTTGTGCCAACAAAGGATTACATAATTCCTTACATTCCTGTCCAACACACTACGCTCCCTAGTTATGCTTGTTTTTCCTGTGACACGATACAAGGGAAAGTACTTAGAATTTCGTTTTCGTGTATACGTATAAAGATGTCTCTAGGTACCTGTTGTCATTGATAGAAATTGACGCAATTGATATATTTTCTTGTTAGTAGAAAAAAAAAAAAAAGAACAAACTATTGAGAGTAGATTTGAACTTACCAATAGAAACGCGAATGCGACCCCCCGCCAGTCCATGGCTAAAATAAAAGAGAAAGTCTTGATTAATAACTGGGTCGAACTCCCATGAGTACGATCGACCGTACAAAACGTGTGTTCGCGTGAAAACACTTGCAACATGGAACACGAAAAAAATCGTTCGATTATCTTGTAGATAATCTCTCCTATCTTTCTTACTTCGATACATCCACTCGATTATTGTTCCTCCAGTTAAACGTTTCTAATCAAATCCTGATCATCAGTCTGAACAACACCGTTCTTAACATTGTTAAATACATAGTTCTTCCATTGATCGATGAGATGAAAAAAGCTATACGAAACGATAGTTGAAGTAACACGACACGATTGAAAGTTTCCATGAGTAGTCACGATCACACAAAAGTAAAAGCTCGATGTTTCGGCATTGCGACGCGATTACGAAGGAAAAAGGAGGTAGAAAAGGTGTTTTCGAACTATTTAACAGAATGTTATCGGACAGCTTGAGAAAGCGACGCGGACGCGGCCGCGGCGCGAGCGAAGGCGATACAACGTTCACTTTTTCGAGCAACAAACAGGAGAAGCCGGGGTGCACGAAACAGAAACGACCTCGAACATTCTTGACCGTAGTCCTTCCACACGGACGCCATTTTCACTGCACCTCGACCTCTTTTCCTTTTTCGTATGTTCACGATGTCGCGAGGACACGAACCGCGGGATTTTACCAGCCGGCTGGTCGATCGACATCCCGCGAGGTTCTGCTTCTGCATTCTCTTCTGCCACCTTTTCTCCCCGTGAACAGGAGAGTCAGGATCGTGCCGTGAACCGATATACACCAGGGCCCTCCAGGGACGTACGATACTACACCTTTCACCTCTCTTTTATACGTATATGTAACTTTCCTGCAAACTAAACTGTTTATCTAAAACTATCTAAATGAGGTCTGATATAACAAAACGTACTATTTTAGAAAAAGGAAAAAAGTAAAAACATTGCGTTACGTTGGAAAGTGCGAGTATGGAGTGGCTAAAGTCTAAAGCGATACCCACGCACGCGTCATGGCATACCGGGCGTTGAAGTCACCGGTAACTTCTGTCGCACAAGACAGATATAGTCATCATACGCGTTCGCGCTCTTACGAAATACCGAGACAGACATAATATTATCCGCGGTAAACTTGGAATAATTGACACCGTCTTATATTGTATAAAAAAAAAAATATTTAATCGCGTGAGCGTGAACGATCCTTGGCGCCTGCATATTTGGTTACCAGTGCCACCTACGAGGATGAACAAGCATCGTGAGCCTTGTACTCGTTTTCGCGTACTTCCGTTGCATAACTCGTCGTTTCATTAAACCAACTAGAAGTCCACGTTATACCCATTCAGCCGCTGCTCGATAGCCCCTCTGTTTTCCGTGCGTGTCTCCGCATGCTCGAGAAAGGAAACGGTTTGTTCCACGCTGCTCGCACAGCTGTCTCAGCCTCTATCGTACAAGCTTTTTCAAACGGCACGGCACGGCACGGCAACCCGCGGTCACGAAAATTTTTCATAAAACCGCAAGGTGAAAAACTATTCGACGAAACACGCGTGTTCGCTTTCGACGACCTTGAGAATGGAGAAGCATTTAAAAAAGTCAACGAGTCGACGCGTTATCGTTCTGACGACGAGAAATTTTTCATTCCATTGTTATTTTCCGATCGTTTTAACGGTATGTTCGCCAAGAACTCGTTTCAGGCGCCTTCTAGCGCCCTTGAACGTCCGCCAACGTGATCTTCGCTGTCTTTCCTTGCAACTCTAGATATTGCGCCATCTTGCTTGTCAACGCGATTAAAAACTCTAATTCAAAGAGACGTATAATCGATATAACGTTTCTTTTTTTTCATTTTTTACAAATCGAGCAAATGTATCGTTGCTGTTACCCTACGATCATTTTAATAATCCAACAAAGTGTCTCACCTGTTAGGTCACCGATTTGTCACTGAAAATTAATCCAAACGCCGAAATAATCTTCCTCTGTTTGCAAATGAACAATTTTCTCAACGATGTTCTTACGAAAGAAAACACAGTCAAGAAAATGACGCGATCACTATATTTTTTCTTTTCCTTTTTCTTTTTCTTTTTCTTTTTCTTTTTCTAGATTGGTAAAGTCGAATTAACAGTTCGATTTACCTCGTGGATCCGGCCCGTTCATCATCAACATTTCCGGTAGCACACTAGACTTGTCGAATAGAATCGGAAACGCGTTCTCGACAGCCATAAGGTCCACATGGCGCACGTCGACATCCCCAAATCTCGGACGATTCTTTCCGAATAAATCTTAATCATTTATTTTTCGAATGAATTCGATCATCCTTGCAAATAATATCTTTGCTTTTTCGACATGAAAAGTATTCAGATAGAAAACTTGATACCAAGGTTGTTTTTCACGATACTTTGTAAGTTTCTTCTTCGAATATGACTTTTGTATTGTGACCAAATTTCTTTATAGCCTCATTGTTGTTTACCATTGATTTTCGGTCCAAGTGTTTGGTCTCTTTTTTTCTCTTTTTCAAAACTGAATTAATCTATACAGAGGACCTCCGATATATCTTTCTCATGGACATTTTTAACGCGTTTCGGTATCATCACTACACCACACATTTAAAAAAAGTAGCAGTCGAGCATGAAAACAGTCGTGAAATAAAGAAACGCGTTGCGATCGACGCGAGGCTCGAGACTGCACTGTTCCTCGTTCCTTTCTTCGCGGCAGCGATACCAGTACCGCGGGACGTTCGACGTGGGACGTGGGACGTGGGACAAATTTTTACCCTTTCCACGACGTCCCACCGGTTCCCCTACTTCACAGTTGGAATTTAACACAAACATGTTTGTCCCACGTGTCCATGTGCGCTTCCTGTTCGGCTCTTCTGTCAATCTGCGTTATCGACTGGACGCTCAAGCTACAGGAGTAGATGGCAGCAACATCGACGAGCCGTGGGGTTTTAGTCAATAAGAATCTGACACTCCCGCAAGTGTCAGTGTGGGGTCTTATGTAACATTTCCCCACGTTCAAATAAAAAATCCTTTACATCTCTGCTTTCCTTACATTCCTGCATCCCTTACATCTCTGCATTCCTTACATCGCTTCATCCCTCACAATCCTACATTATTTTCATGCCTACATTCCTTATATCGCTCCATCCCTTACATCCCAACATTCCTTACATTCCTACAGTCTTTTCATTCCTACATTCCTTACATCGCTCCATCCCTCACATTCCTACTTTATTTTCATCCCTACATTCCTTACATCGCATCATCCCTTACATCCCTACATTCTTTTCATTCCTACATTCCTTATATCGCTTCATCCCTTACATCGCTTCATCCCTTAAATTCTTTCCATTCCTACATTCCTTATATCGCTTCACCCCTCACATTCCTACATTATTTTCATCCCTACATTCCTTACATCGCTTCATCCCTTACATCCCTACATTCTTTTAATCTCTACATTCCTTACATCGCTTCATCCCTTACATCCCTACATTCTTTTCATTCCTACATTCCTTACATCGCTTCATCCCTTACATCCCTACATTCCTTTCATCCCTACACTCCATACATCTCTTCATCGCTTAAACCACTACATTCTTTTCATCCCTACATTCCTTTCATCCCTATATTCCTTACATCTCTGCATACCTTATAATAAATACATTACAAAAACTGCTTGGAGTAAAGGTAAGTAAAGGTAAGTAAAGGTAAGTTTACTTTTACGCGAAATTTTTGAAAAAATAGCGCCCCCTGGCGGCAAAAATGCGAACTAAAATTTCGATGTCGAATCAGCGCCCTCTGGATTCGGAAAAAGGAACTATATCATGCTCAATTTCTGGCCCTCTGGCGGCCAAAATGTGAACTAAAATTTCGATGTCGAGTCAGCGCCCTCTGGTTTCGGAAAAAGGAACTAAATCATGCTACGATTTTGGCCCTCTGGCGGCCAAAATGTGAACTAAAATTTCGATGTCGAATCAGCGCCCTCTGGTTTCGGAAAAAGGAACTAAATCGTGCTACGATTTTGGCCCTCTGGCGGCAAAAATGTGAACTAAAATTTCGACGTCGAATCAGCGCCCTCTGGTGGCAGAAAAAGAAACTAAATTTTGCAAAAATTTAAATTAAAAATTATGTTTCACAAGACTTTACTTACGTGAGGGTGGTCCCATAGAACGTGCGGGGCCGCAGGTGGCCAGGGCTGGGGCCCCGGTCACCATTGCACGCGGTCCGAAGGGTGCTGGCACCGGGTGTGGCCCCCGGTGTCGGCGGGGAAGGGACATTCGGGGAGGGTCGAAGGTTCGACCCTCTCCCGAGAAGGGGCGCCATGGCGCCAGGGGCGGAGGGTCCCGGGGCCCTCCTCTAATGGAGGCCACCGTGGAGGTTTTAGTGGGTAAGAATCCCACACTACCTCCGTCCCCCCCCCCAGGGGGGCTGGAGGTGTCTTGTTGAAGATTTCCTCCACGTAAAAAAAAAAAAAAAAAAAAAAAAAAAAAATGGTATAAAGGAAGAGAGAGTTGGGCACATACATCGCCCGGTACCATCACCGGTGCATTCTGAGGGGGTGTTTACGACCCCTCATAGCAGTGAAGACAGTGTTTAATTAGGTGTACACGGGGTCCTAGACACCCCAGTAGGCAGTAAAGGTAATTTTAAATTCGATGCACTCGGGGTCCTAGGCACCCCAGTCGGTCGCCTTTGGGGTTTCTAGAACCCCAAGTGGCAGTGAATGTTATCTTTAATTCGGTGTACGCGGGGTCCTAGGCACCCCTGTCGAACGCACTTGGGGTTTCTAGAACCCCAATATGCAGTAAAGGTAATCTTTATTTCGGTGTACGCGGGGTCCTAGGCACCCCAGTCGAACGCACTTGGGGTTTCTAGAACCCCAAGTGGCAGTAAATGTGATCTCTAATTCGGTGTACGCGGGGTCCTAGGTACCCCGGTCGAACCTGCTTGGGGTTTCTAGAACCCCAAGTGGCAGTAAATATAATCTTTAATTCGGTATACGCGGGGTCCTAGACGCCCCGGTCGATCGCACTTGGGGTTTCTGGAACCCCAAGTGACAGTAGATGTAATCTCTACTTCGGTGTCCGCGGGGTCCTAGACACCCCGGTCGGTCGCCTTTGGGGTTTCTAGAACCCCAAGTGGCAGTGAATGTTATCTTTAATTCGGTGTACGCGGGGTCCTAGGCACCCCTGTCGAACGCACTTGGGGTTTCTAGAACCCCAATATGCAGTAAAGGTAATCTTTATTTCGGTGTACGCGGGGTCCTAGGCACCCCAGTCGAACGCATTTGGGGTTTCTAGAACCCCAAGTGGCAGTAAATGTGATCTCTAATTCGGTGTACGCGGGGTCCTAGGTACCCCGGTCGAACCTGCTTGGGGTTTCTAGAACCCCAAGTGGCAGTAAATATAATCTTTAATTCGGTATACGCGGGGTCCTAGACGCCCCGGTCGATCGCACTTGGGGTTTCTGGAACCCCAAGTGACAGTAGATGTAATCTCTACTTCGGTGTCCGCGGGGTCCTAGACACCCCGGTCGATCGCACTCGGGGTTTCTAAAACCCCAGTAGGCATGAAATGTAATCTCTAATTCGGTGTACGCGGGGTCCTAGACACCCCGGTCGATCGCACTTGGGGTTTCTAGAACCCCAAGTGGCGGTAAATGTAATCTCTAATACGGTGTACGCGGGGTCCTAGACACCCCGGTCGATTGCACTTGGGGTGCCTAGGACCCCTCGTGGGAGTAATATAATCTCGAATTCGGTCACTGTTGCAGCTATTTGAAATGCGCGAAAACTGATAGGCAATTTATCGACCGATGGTCTTAAATTAATGAATTACCTACTTTTCACTGGGTTGATCCATATTTCAGTAAGGTGAATTATCGGCTAATATTAGGACCTTTTTTATAGATGCCGCTAAGGTCGAAGTTGGGACTACTTTTAGGAAAATAATTGAAATTTAATTGTTTTTAATCATTTTATTATATTCACTGTATAAAGTAGGTCAGTGTATGAAAGATTCAAAGAGGATAAAATTACCACTTTTCTGTTGTAGCACCTCCCCAACTTTGACCAGTTGTAGGCTGTGTGGTTGTGGACCATTCTTCTGAAGTCTGCATTATAAAAATAGAAAAATAAGTTTAAAGTACATTAGAATTTGCATATTAAAAGTCTTATTTTTTAAAACATTATCTTCATACCTGAGCAGCCCAGTCTCCACCAGTTTGGAATGCTGGTGCAGCAGCTGGAGGTGGTATAGCAGTAGCTGCCGCAGTTGGTGTTGCAACATCATCCGCCCAGTTTTCAGTAGTAACAGCACCTGCATCAACTTCATTGACCCAACCAGGTTCTGCTGCAGCTGGAACTTCAACTGGTCCTGTGAATTCTTTAGCTGGTGCTATCTCTTTAGCAGCCTGTTCTTCTTTCTCAGCCTGTAAAATAATTAATGCATCATGTTAGTATTTGAATAATTTACATGGAAATAAAATATACTGTGTAAGCAGATTCAGAAAAGATTAAGCCATATTTAAATTAATTCAACAAGTATTTTTCTGGTTACTAATTTCTCATCATCTATGAAAGACGAACATATATAAATGCGAATTCTAATACATTACAATCAGTACTGACCTCTTCTGGATCTCTGTAGAAGAACAAATCAACTACAACATCCCATTTACTTTCACGGGCGATGGAACCTCTTAGTCTGAGTACTTCTCTTGCCAATAACCACCACATAAGACCCACGCAATGAAGACTTTTCGTATTGCAAGGAATAGCGATATCGACGAAACGAAGAGGCGAATCGGTATTGCAGAAGGCAATCACTGGAATGTTCACGTAACTTGCCTCAGTGATTGGTTGATGATCGGTAGATGGATCAGTTACAATCAGCAAACGAGGTTCACGGAAAGCAGACTGTAAATAATCATCGCAATTAGTATAAAGTAACCAAATAATTCATAAATGATTATTTAAGTTTCGAATAAAATCAGAAAAGATTAAGCCAAATAAACCAACATGTGTAAGTTATGGTAAAAAAAGATTCTCATCACGTGTACAAATAATAGTATATAACTGATATTTCTATAGTAACAAAATCAACCTGAATCTGATTGGTGAAAGCACCAGGAGTAAAACGACCAGCGATAGGTGTAGCTCCGGTGTGCTGGGCAAATTTTAAGACAGCCCTCTGACCAGTTTGGCGGCAACTGATGACAAAAACTTCGCTCGGATGTTCAATAGCAACAATAGCACGTGCTGCTAATAGCAACTTTTCCCAAGTGTGACGTAAATTGATGATACTGACACCTATAATTAAGTATTATTTGAATTTTCACCTTCAACTTTTCATAAAAGTTATAAGATTTACTGCAGATAAAACTTACCATCATTTTTCTTTTTATAAACATACTGTTCCATTTGAAAGTTCACATTCTCTGCACCCAGGTGGGTAAATGCAGCTAACATCTTAGTAACATCATCCTCTTTGAGGGCTAACACATCTAAACCTCCTGACATCTTAACGTTATGGTTGAATTACGATTAACCTAAACAAAAAGGTTAATATATAATAGCAGATTTTAAATTTAAAAGAAAATCACATAACCTTAATTTATAACCTAAAAGAATTACTCAATTTCTTGATATATTTAACAGATTAAAAGATTATAATAATATATGAAACACAGGCAAGTTTTTATAAACTAACAATTTAAAACATTAGGATAATATTAATACAATTAAATACTTATTAAAACAGTACCACGTGTACTGGCTGCTCTGAAAATCATACTTCTTGCATTTAGATATTATTTGGGTTAAATTTTTATATACAATTTCATCCTTAAGTACATTGTATTCTTTAAATAGGAATATTGTTATTATATACAACAATAAACGATATAAATAATGAAAAATATTATACGAACTTACGTTATCAACGCCACTAGGAGATTTCCAATCGGAAAGGAAGTTGTCGGTTCACATCTGTGCCGGCGTAAAGAAAAAGGGGGGAAAGGAATAATATTCATTTTATGGTACAGAGTTTCAATATTCTGTGAAATCTGTAAAAAATAATGATAAATGTCTAAATATTTAATCTATAATGTATACAATTTTAATTTATAAACAAATATATAGTTTCAATTGAAAGGATATTATAGGAACGGAAACGTATTGAATTTTACCGGGGAATTTTAAATGTTATTAAGATGTACATACATATATATGTAAAATAAATAATTTTATAAATCACGTTTACTGAGGTATTAATCGAAACTTTTTGATGCTTACTGTTTAATTTGACGTATATATATTTTGTTAAAAATATAAAATTTTTTTTCTGAATACTTTGTGAAATATTTGTGTTTATAAAACAGATATTCACACAAATTGATATAAAGAAAAATTATAGATATCATAGTACAATTTGATGATACTTACACGATATTATATATATGATATTTAGGTAATAGAGAAAACGTGATACGAATATTTCAAAAAGAATTTTGTGCCTTAACCTACAATATCTGATTTAGCGAAGTATTGTTACACTGTTTTACAGATCTGTAGTTAACAAGTTGTAACGCATTGTATGCAAGAGTGATCTTTAAAAAAAAAAATATGTTCTAAAATAATGTATCCCGCAAACCATAAGACTATTTTTGTTCTGGACCATACGCCATATTTTGGTATATCTACCGAGGCTCCTCTAGAATTTGATTTTCTAAAAAGCCGCGGCCAAAATTTGATACCTTTGGCCCCTGTTTGTAAATCCTTGTGGACAACCAGTGTTGAAGCTTCTCTAGAATATTGCCGTATAGTGTGGGATCTCTTTCCAACTGGAAAATTGGTACATTATTTTAATGTATCGGTATTAAATAAAATGTATATGACTTTAGTTTAACATCTAATCCTTGTATTATTGAATTACAGATAAGATTTGTGGCAACTGATCGTGCAGCATATGTATTGAACTCATGGAGCCCATCGCAACAAAATTTAAATCATGCAAGTACTTGTTAATATTTTTCTATTAAGAGATCATATTATTAATTTAAACTGTTATTGTTGCAGATAATGAATGGTACAGCTATTTTAGGAGTACCAACAAAGACTCCACAACCTGGAGTAGATTACTCTGTGATACATGGCTTGAGAGTAGCTATTGAAACGCTTAATGAGTGTTCAGAAATTCAACATGAGAAGAGAACATCGTTAAACGAAAATGCCAGTAAACTTGTTAATAGAGGAAGAGTAATATGTATCACTAGTGCACGAGATAATAGCAATATGAAGAACTTGGAAAATATATTTTTGAATGAATTAGCTCAAGAAAATAAAACTGCTTTAGCTTCTGATCAGTTAGTATAATACTAATATTGTTCATTACTATACTTGGTGATGTTTTAACACACTTATGTTTTATGTTTCAGTCTAATACCTGTAGATTATTGTCACCTAGTTATACTGAATATTTTTCCTAACAATATTGAATCACAAGTTACTAGTCAAGGACCAAGAGAGGTATACCGCTAGCTCTAACAATTTCAATAAAAGAAATAATAGTAACATCGCGAAATATTTTGTTCCAGGTTTCACCAATGTTAACAGTAGAAGTGCATTCTATTAAGGCGCCCGCTTTACATTCAAAATTGTCTCATTTAATTCTGGCTCATTATGATTTGGCAAGCACAACGGTAACTGGTATACCAATGAAAGAAGAACAAAATGCTAGTTCCTCTGCGAATTACGACGTCGAAATATTTCATTCGTCAGCCGCACATTCCGCAATTTTAAAAGGTACATTATCTACACAAACTTTAAGAAGTTGAAGTATTTAAATAATTGTAGCTGAGACGGCTATACAAATATTTTTCATTAGGAAATCCACAAGACTCAGCTTTAATTAAAACGTTCAGAAGATTCGAAGAGGGATCAGAGTACGAAACAGTGACTCTAAAATGGTGTACACCACGAGGATGCAGCGCAGCTGAAATGCAAAATTGTACAGCTATGCACAGAATCACTCCAGTAGACGTAAATAGCAGACCGTCGTCTTGTCTGATTAATTTCTTGTTAAATGGAAGATCGGTGATGTTGGAAATGGCCAGAAAGAGCGGTGGTAAAACTATTTCCCATTTACTCGCTGCACACGGTGGAGAAATTTTTATACACACCTTATCTACCGCTAGAAGCGTCTTAGAGGATCCACCCTCTATCAGTGAAGGATGCGGTGGCCGCGTAACTGATTACAGAATAACTGTAAATATGCAATTCCCAGACAATTTTTCTTTATTAGAAATTCATGCAATCATCGATATCTTATCTACTGTAGGATTTTGGAAAACTAATGCGAAATAATGTATTGGTGCCTTTAAAACGAAGTGCAGCTTCTAACGGCGAAGGTCCAGCAGAGAAAATGAGATGCAGATTAGAAAGACATACAAAATATTGGCCAATTACCATTTCTAGTACCCTTATGTTTAATTTGAAACAGGTATGTACATCTCATGCATCGAATTAAATTTAAGTAATCAACTAATCAGAGAATTTTGCATTGAAGTTAATAGATCCGTTACCAGATTTAATGGTAAAGGAAGAGCTCACTGCAGAGGAGGTGGTACAATGCAAGCAAGTAATCTTTAGTTTGCTGCAATTAGAAGCAAAACACGAAGCTCTCCCTCTTCCGAGTATAGGTGGTGGTCGCGGTGGTAAAAGTGGTGTACGCAGAGAAGAACATTATAGACTCTTATGGGGAGAACTAGAAACGTTTCTTAAGCACCATGCTAATAATTCTGCTGCGCATTCCGAGGTTTTAACTTGCCTCCTCGAAGTACGAAGCAAAGACGACAAAGACAAAGTTGAATTGGACCAGGCGTTGCGCGAATTGGACGGGTAAGTCATTTCTCTAACAAACGACCACTTCCATCAAGAAAAGATATTAATCTTCCATTTATTTCAACGAGGTAGATTTGGCAAAGAAGATGGAACTGCGAGGGCCAGTGTGATAAGAGCAACGACCGATTCACCGATGTCTCCACCCCCAAGTACATCCATGTCTATTGGGAAACAACTTCTCAAGGGAGGTATCTACGCTCCTAAAAGTTTGTTGGACATTTGGTTACAACGCAGCACGCCCAAAGAGAAGAAACCAGATTTCCATGGAAGACTAAACAGCGACGGTCCTAAAGCAAAGTTATATCCCAACTTGAAAGAAACTGGTCGAGAACCCCGTGAAACTATCATAGAAGGCTAACAGCTTCAACTATTACCTATCATTGTTTATCACTCTATGAACATAAGGTATAAACCAGGAACAATTTCTTATAATTCCAATGACAAGTGTCATTTTTTTACTATCAATCAACAATGTATCACGATGCGTTCGTGACAAACAGAAGAATATAATAATTTCTTAAACAGTGTTGATTAACGTCAGAATGAAATTTTCCAATTCCTTTAGATCCAAGGTACACGCTACTTGCCTCTGTACACCCTACTCTAAGTATACAATCAGTAAGTTGATCTATGATGAAGAAGAGAAGAGAGCAAGTAAAGATGATGCGCGATAGAAAAGGATGAAGAAGAATGCCACCTGCGGCCGAAGATAGGTATACAAGAGGCAGCGCAAAAGTGTATCAGTGGTACGAAACGAAAGCGATTCACCGCCACCGTCTCTCCATCCCCGCGTCCTTCGTCCCACGGCGTTTTACAGCAGCCACAGACAGACGAAGAGACAGACGGACGAACGGACGGACGGACGGACGGACGGACGGACGAACAGACACGTCTGCCGGGTGTCTGAGCCACCGCGATACGTTGACCTCCATCGTCTCCCTCCACGGCCTGGAATTCCACCGCTAATCGATGAAAGGAAGGAGGAAGGTATGCTGCACATAATATAATGCGAGCACGAGGAGAGGAGGCCGGGGAAAAGAGAGACGGAGACAGAATCGACGGATGAGGAGAAGCATACAGGAGAGGAAAGGAGGAGAGGGGTCCGGAAGGGGATCAGAGAGTACAAGTGCGTGACGTAATAGTTCATTCATCCCGAGACAGACGATATCCCGGTCAATGGTGTACATATACATACACGTATACGCATTTATTCGATACTACATACGCGTGTACACCTACGTGGAGACGTATATGTGTCACGTGAAGTGCACACGTGCACGCGATGGTTCGTCTCTTGCTTTGCTTTTGCTCCTTCCTCGTCTCGGCCAGTTACAATGTATCGATACTCTCCTCTGGTCCATACTACCGGATAAATCTCTCCTCCTCTCTTTGACAATGACAATGAATTTTTCTTATCGCAACGCCCCACTGCGATTACATACTATTCTTACATAATTGTTACGTTTTTCTTATCGCTGATAACAGGTGTACTATTTAGGAGAATGAAGATAATAATTGGAGTTATCAATGCAATTAATTGTAACAACATGTTTTTTTAAAGAAGTAGTAATTATAAGTAATAAATGCTTTGATCTTTGATAAGGATCAGTGAAACATGTAAATATTTTATCAGACTTTAGAGTTCATTGAAGCTCCAGAGTATATCTTGTTAAATGTATTTTTAACAGACTTTTTATGGGGTATTGAAAATGCTTATATTGTAATTATCGACTAGGAGGAAGCTTTAGAAGGAGTTGAATGCTTTTGTTGGAAAATTCATGCCACGAACGTAGCTGGAAAAGTAAATTAGATAGAATTATTGATCGTAGGCTACAGCTGTGTGCAGGTGGTGGCACGAAGAAGACTCCTCCGTTTATAATTTACCTCGCCTATCTACCCCAAATATCGATCCTGACAAAAGGTCACCGAACGAACGAGTGAAAAGAGAAACACAGTGCAGACCCCGGCTAATAATAACCGCTGATTAAATACAACCAGAGCGTTACAATCTTTCATCGAACTGTGACTTTTCATTGGAATTAATTAACCAAAATGATTCTCTTTGAACCCTTGGGCCTACATATGATTTATTACGTCTGAGCTCCTAAATGAATTTTGAAATTATTTTTCTCACCAAGGATTACGGATGAATCTGTTCTTGTCATTTAGAAAATGGGACAGGATGTTCCAGTGGAAGAGAAACGTTGATAATTCATGGCGTTATCGATTCCTGGTACACATCGTCAAGTCCAGAGTGGATATCGACCTGGTGCTAGAGTAGCGACGTGCTCCGTTTGCTGGCCCTCTATAATTCATCGTCGCCCCGCTTCCTGGTCTTTGTACTTCCCGGATGGACTTGGCGCCTCCTCGCATATCGAGTTTTCTCCTGAAAAACTGTTCGCCGATGTTAGAATTACATATTCTTTCAGGTAGCACGAGTCGTGTTCGGTAGACAGATTTCGATGGTATAGCGAATAGACGGAGAAGTTGGTTCACGAAACGCAGACAATTGGATGTTAGCTCGGGGGATGAGTCGTCAATCTGCTACCCTAAACCTCGTAAAGCCTGCAGCCGCCTGCAATTGTCAGCGGAGAGCAACTGATCGATTTCGAGGGAAACACTGCAGCCTCCGCGTGATTTCATCAACAAACTCGTAATCCTTGCGGACTAGTACGTAGTTTCCTAGTTTAGGCATTGAAGTATAACTAGAATTATTTGTGCAGCAAATTGGGCAGGTCCCTTAGAGATTTTGATATTCGGAAATTTTAGAATGGTTTCTATCTAAAAAATTGTCGAGGTAAAAAGAAATTTTTCACCACGCATCAAGAATAATCCTGGTCAAATGGAAGTCGAAGAGGAATAAATTTTTTGTACAGTTGCGACCAGTTAAGGCCAGGTCAGAGAAGACAGGCGCAAGGGAGGGAAAAATAATCTCCCAGCGGGATTTTCGACCCTCGCCGCGTTTCGTATCAGGGATAGGAAGAGAGGCGGCGGTGATCGTTAGCACAGAGGGATCTTTGAAAAACGTGTTTCATGGTGAGACAGAGAAAGAGAGGCAGCTGGTGAGCTAGCGAGCAGTCAGGGAGAGCATTGAAAAGGGGGCGTTGACAAAGGGAGAAGCGTAACCCTCGGGGAGCACAGCGGGAAAGCGAGTCCTGCAGCGCTTTCCTCTTGCCTCAATGGAATACGTTAGGACACGGGTTGAAAAATTGAAACAGCGAAATCTCTTCAACTCTGCGACAGAATTTGAACGAACCTAAAACGTTATCATCAGGTTCTAATATCTAATTTGATGAAAATAAGATTTACTCATAGAGCAACGGAGAAGATCATCGCCCCTATGAAACAATCCTCGTCTCTCCAGCAGCCAGTTCATCGAACCAGCCAGAGAAACAGAGTCTGGTTAAACCAGATCCTCTCATTCTTCCTCTCACTGTGAGAGTAGATATACTTTCTCCTTCCGGGACCTAGTTGCCAAGTCTATGAAAAGTATGAAGAGGAGATGGAACGGTGTGGCAAGGGCAAGAGGAGGAAGCGAAGGGCCAGAGATTGGAGTACGAGAGAATGTGTTGCAAGGAAGTATTGCGGGTAGGGGAAATTGAAAGTAGGATGGAAGAACGTTGGAAGGCGCGGGTGTGATAGGGTGGAGGGTGTCCCTCAAATCGCCCCCGCCATTGGTAAACGTCGTCGTAGCACGTGCTTGCTACGTCACCGCGTGTTTACAGAGAGATACCTATAGCCGTTACTCGTGACCTTGTGTTTTGTATATATCATCCTCCCTCCTGATGCCCGTGGGATGTACCTCCCGTGGCCCCGCGGACTCGGGAATACCCCTATCCAGTATCGTCGTCTCTCCTCGAACTCCCCGTGAGGCAACCAGTTGTTCCGTCTGTGACGTAACAGGGTATCACACGACCTGTCGGTGCTTTGTTGCATCCTGTTCTAACTCTCCATCCGGCGTCTCTCTTCGACCTAGACAACCTTCTTTCCTTCTCTCACTTCACCGGCCGTCTCTCTTCTTCTTCTATCTTCCAGATTCCAGTATCCCCGTCGACCGACCTCGCACACCTTATGCCGTCCTCCGCTCCTCTGGCTGCCCTTCGTGCAGCACACCGCTGATTCACTGTGTAAGTGGATACGCGCACCGCTGTTTTCTCGTCATTTAACCGAGCGAAAGTGAGAAGAGAGGATGCTTTAAATGGGTGAACGTGAACGCGAACGCGAACGCGAACGCGAACGCATCGACTCGAAGGTCGTCGTGCCAGAGCTTACCAGTAGGTCACTGGAACGACTCTGATGACCCCAAGTTCCATTCCTTTCGGTTACCGCTGCTCTAAATGGATTTGGGATCGATGCTATTTACTTTTCCTGTTGCATACTTTCAACGCACCACGTGGACCGTTTACTCTGCTAAATGTATTTTTTATGTTTATTCTAGTCCTGGATGTCTCTTCGAAAGGCTAATCTCAATTGGAAGTTTCTTTCGGATCAACCGAAGCACTCCTGAGGAAGGAACTCTGAGAAGCTTGAAATGAGTTGTTGCTGGCAATCGACCATACGGCAAGGTTACGTCTGTCCTTAATTTTAGAAGCATCAAAAAGGAACGCTCGTCACGACCAAAATAATAACGTGTATATATGAGGCGTGAATAAGAATCGACTACTTCACTGTGGGAACTGCGACGAAGTTGTAAATTCTGTAACAATGTCACCATTGCGATAACTTTAATTGAACAGTGCAAGTGAAGTCATTCGTATAGAAGCAGCTGAAGAACAAGTACATACAAGGAGAAAGTCGGAGATTACAGGGTACACTTTCACTTTGTTCGACCGGCTTGAGTTTGCTCAGCTGAATCCGAAGATATTCTTCGTTTGAACGTGTAATTGTATTTTAAACGAAATTTCATATCTAAAGTAATTATTCGTTAATTTAGAACCGCGTTGGTGCTTGATAATACATTATTTCTGTTGATTAAAAAAGTTTATTTACACTTTGTCGAGTTTCATACTTATTGACCCGATACTTGGAAAAATATAAAATGTGTAATAAGATTTAAAACACTTGACGCTCTTCGTTAAGTATAAATAGTAATAAACCGTTGTAGAGGTGGATTTTTTGCATGGAATATATGAAGTGGCGATTAATGAGCCCAGCGAACCTTGATGCAGGTAAAAAGTGAACAAAAGCTGGGATACAAAGGAGGATCAATCGTTTCCACTTTCCAGCTGGATTGAGGAAAAAAAAACCATCAACAACTTATCCCCCTTTCCTCTCTATAAAAATCCCTTGTCCGTGTTTTCTCTCGTCGTTCCGCGCTTGCATCGTAAAGGTGAACACGTTAGATATAAAAAGACTCGGAGGATTTGATGAATAAAATGAAAAACTAAAAGAGAAATGAATGTTTCACCATGCACGAGAACAGCAAGAACACACCAGAAGATCGTAACGTTTTCAAATAATTTATTTAACCTCGTACTTCGTAATGACATCACCTTACTTTACAATTAATCCAAGAATTACACGTTACTATTCAAAGGAAACGAAAAGTGTCTTCGTAGATCGCAGAAAGCGTTCTTCTATACAAAGTTGAGAGAAAATTGGCCGTCGAGGATTTCAGGATAGACCAAAGGGTATATTCTTGAAAAAAAAAAAAAAAAAAAATGAATCAGTGCAATCGTTGGTGAAGATCGCGAACGTTAACGAATATTGGGATCGTTAAGAGCAGCGATGGGCATAACGAGTGCCCGTTGGGGAACTCAAGGGGACTGGCGTGCACGAGACGTGCAACGATGGAATACGGGATGTCGATGTGGGAAATTTGAGAATTTGGTAATTTAGAAATATAGAAATTACAAATTTTCAAACCGAGTGCACGCCACTTGCCCTCGAGGGCACGATTGGCCATCACTGATCGACTCCTAAGTGTTCATCGAAGGCAAGGCAAACGTGTGATTCTTCTTCATCGATTAACATCTTGTCATCGAGAGAAGAGCATGGCCCATCGTCGTATCGATCGGTTTTTAACACGATTGCTTATTTATATTTATTTTAAATGGCAGTTTTAAACGGTTCACCTTATCAACCCCTGCGAGCCGAAGAAAATTCTTGAAGGATCTCCTCCGAATTTTCGTAGACGATCTTATCCTAGGGCAGATCTGTTAAAAAAATGTTCACGCCGAATTTGATCACCGTCGGGAAATCTGTATTTTCTGAGAAGGAACATAGAGGAAAAAAGGCCACGATTATTGGAAGCAGGACGTTGATGAAACAAAATATTTCATGTTCCTTTTGGTAGAATAAAATCTGAAATTTTCAATACAGGAGAGATAGAGAGTGATACTCCCTTATCGATGAATCAAAGAAAAGTGGCGAAAGAAAATGGCATTGAACAGAACAAGAAGAATTATTGGTGGAATGTCTTGTAATTACGTGCGAGAATAATAATTTATCAGGCGAAAAGAAAGAAAAGAAGAAAAAAAAAAACAACTCCGCTACATTAAATCCGTTATACGTTTATAAAGACAATAAAAACTATGCTCGCCGTCGTTCGTAATAGTAGTTAATAGCAGCAGTAACGTAATAATAATAATAATAATAATAATCACCCTCGTGTCACTATCAATCTCATCATTGTCGTCGTCGTCGTCGTCGTAATTATTATAATTCATTCGCGTCATAAACTCACGCATATGTATATCAAATATTACTTCAGCAATTACTTAACATTATCCGCTAAATAATCGCAAGAACGTCGGTGAAAAAAAAAAAAAAAATTCTCCATTTCGAACATTTTTCGTCTTCTTGATCTATGGAACTTCACGATTCTCTTCGATCCACGCGTTTGTAATATATATATATATTGTTCCTTGCCAACGAAACGATCGATACGGAATAAATTAGGCGCTAAATAAATAGAACGGGCTTCACTACGATTTTATTAAGGTAGATTCATCCATACTCGCTGCAAACCTCTGCTTTGTTCTCTCCTCTGACAAGACGAACCTCAGACGTCCTCCTCCTCGATCTCGATCAATTTTCGAATTGATTATCGAAATCAGCGAAGATCGTTTCTGAGGTTCCTCTTTGGATTTCTTGCATTCCTTCTCAACAGAGAAATTAATTATTTTGAGTTTTCAAACTCTCTGTTCACAACGGTTCTTTGATACCAGACAGATATCCTATTATTTCTGTCTTTTCTCTTCACTTTTTCGCGTTGCTTAGGATGGTGTTTGTTCCCCCCCTGGCAAAGAGACACTAAAATACACCAGATATTGAAAACAAGCTAGTCCATTTATCTGGTTTCTTTTTAGCGTAACCACTGTCGGTTACCGTATGTATGGTTTATGTGTGAATTAATAATAAGGTCGGTACTATAGCTCAGCCTGGCCACGGTGTTCTAAATTACAAATATATATATATAATTATGTATATTTATAAAATTTGAATGAACGTTCTTGATCAAGCTATAGCGGTTTATTCATCTTCTGTAACTTTCTGGCAACCTTACATACCCTCTTTCACTCTGTCTTCTTATACACACATTCTCTCTTTCTCTCTATCATGATTCAACGTTATACTATCTCGTGTAGTCTTGTTTTTCATGTTTTTAATATATTTTTTCACATTTTTTTTTGTTGCAATTACTCAACGTTCGTTTGCAATCGATTAATCGTGGTTCGTCTCTTCGTTCGCGTCTCATCCTCGACAATGATTAATTAATCATCAATAATGCAAAAATACTAGTTAAATCCCTGTACATGAGAATCTCGACGTGATGTGTGTGTGTGTGCGTGTGTGTGTTTGTATGTATGTATGTATGTATGTATGCGAGTACCTGTTAGGTGTCTACCGCCATTCGTTTTCACGTTTTCGTTTTTTCATGATGGACTCAAAAAAGCGTTACTTTTATTTGTTTCTAATTTTTTTTTTCATTTTTTCCATTTTTTTTCTTTTTACTTACAAGGTATTTGGTTTTGCTCCATGCATCACTCTGACATGCAGTTTTTTTTTCTTTTAGGTATATAAATTATGGTAATGATTCGGTATTATAATTATAATAATAATTATTATTATTAATATTAATATTATCATTGTGTTTCGGTGTACCGCCGATATTTTTCTTATATTTTTTTTTTCTTGCTGGTCACAGGATCAGTTACTCGATCTCTCTCTCTCTCTCATACCCAGATTTGTTATAATACATTCTCTCTTTATCACTCCCTCCCTCTCATTCTCGTTTCGCGCACAGTTCGCTTTAAAACGTTAAACATCGTGTATGTGTGTTTCAGTGGCCCTTGAACACGGTGTAGAAATCGCGGATAAAAAGGAATGATCTTTCTCTGGTAAATAAAGACTACGTTTGTTCCTTGGTAGTTGTTCCTTGTGACCAACGGAAACGGGTCACTGATAAGGCAGTACCAAGATCGTCTCGATCAACGAACGAAAAGCTCCTACGCGAGGAAAGAAATATAGCGCTACATCAGAACAAGAGAGAAAGCTCCAGGACAAGTATAGAAACTCGAGGAGACTAAAATAGTTGGTATCACGACAACGCGTGAGAAACACAACGGGTCGAAGAGAACACGAGAAACCTTGTAATCAAAGGAGAAGAAAAAGAAAACAGTTGGTAATCTTCATTGGTCGAGCTTCGCCTCTTGTTTCTGTGTTCGAGCCCCGAATCAATCTAAAAACCAGCAAGCTGTTTTACGCAATGACTTCCACATCATCGACTACGATATTACGTTATTTCACACTCTCGAGGATGTCTACGGACAAGGACATAGAAAGGCGAGGTGCTGTGACCATGATGAAAGAATCGGTACCCAAGGAGACAAAGAAGAAGAAGAAGAAGAAGAAGAAGTAGAAGAAGCGAGTGTATGAAATATTTTGGATAAATAAATGAATCGAAAGAGAGGGAGCGAAGAAAAATAAATGTAAAACACGATCATGATGATGGTAGCCTGATGGTATATAAGAAGAAAGTCTACTATCCGCGACGCTGATCGGTGACCCTGGCGGTTTTTTAGAAGCGCCTCGCTGCGATCAGCGTTAAATTGGCGGCTGACATTAGGTTGGTGACGTTGTTGCTCGTATTCGTGGCTCCTTGGCTCGCGGTGGGTCACTTCTTACTCTTCTTCGTTGGCGGCTCCTGTACGACGTCCTGAGAGTCTTCTGTGTCCTCGCTGTCCGTTGGTCGTGGCGTGTTGTTGCTGTCGTCGTTCTCGTTCGTTGCGAGGGAATCGTTCGTATCTTCGCTGGCTACGCCCACTGTAATCGGTGTTGCGGGTTTATCCATCGAGTCTTCGGTGAAGGACGTGGTCATGCTGTTCTCGTCGATGGCCGCTGGATCAATACGGCCTGGTTCCTTACCGTTCACTGCCACTTCCTGATTGCTGTCGTCCGACGGTTCCGTCGCTTCGCCGTTGCTGGCTGGCGGATGAGAGTTACCGTTCTCTGTTGAACCTGGAATGCCGTCTAAGAGTTCTGGTTTTAACTCGGACGCCACATAGTGGGTCCATAGGGCTAACTCCACCCTGTGAGGACTCCATGTTTTGCCATTTGACGCTGAAACGAGACAATCAAACGGGGGATGTTTAAATTTCATCGTTCCAATGTTAAACCCTTTACGATCCAATGTTATAGAGTGAGTCTTGGAGGATTTCTATTCTTGTGACTGAAGTGGATATGTTGGTAATGATTTCTGGAGTCTCGAGTAAAAGGTTTTGGAAGTCGTATTCTTGTGTCTGAGGTGATTGCGTTCGAGTTCTTGAGGAGTTTATGAGAGAAATCAAACTTGAAATATTAACTAATTGTATGTATTTTGTATCTAGGAATTGTTTAGTTGATGCGTGGATCATAAAGCGTTGCGATAACGATGCATCATTATGAATTAATCAATTTTCAAGGAAATAAATCAACGTCGAACGAAGGAGAGCAGACACTCACTTTGTTTGTTCAACCTCTCCACGGTATTTTGAATGTGTTGAACAAAGTTAAGGTACTCCTTGGTGGTGTAATCGATGCCCTCGATTTCCGGTATTGCCATCAGGCATTCATCGGCCATAAACGGTGCATTTTCTGGTGATGCCGCTGCTAACAAGGCCGATGCCATCGTGGTACCTACTCCTTTTAAATTCGACAGGGCTGTGATAGCTTGTTCAAGATTTGGAAGTTTCTTGAACGCCTTTTTCGTTTCTGCCATCACGGCACGCGGTGTGTTCACTTTTACTAAATAAGATAGTTGAGGGTAAAATTTCCCACGCTGTAAATCAGAAGAAACGTCGTACGTTAAGTTAGCAGAATTCTTAATCATCCTTAGGAGTAAAAGGTGGTCATTAGAAAACCATTATCGTATCGTTTACTGGAATCGTGTTGAAAATATTTGATGCGATGTGCAAGATACTTGAAATAAATTAAACTTGTTTCTGTAGTCACTGTGATTGATTTTTTTGCTTCTTGTCTTAATCGCTAATGCCGATTAATCGTTTCACCCTTTCTTCTAATGAATTTAAAATCTATAAAAGATTCTCAGATTCACTGATACCAAATAGAAATGTTAGAAAGAATAGAATGAAGATCATTCTGTGTATACGCAAAGGTTAGAAGTGTACCATCGAAATATAAAACTGATTTGCAGGATAAAATTTGTATAAGATACCAATACTCGTTAACTCAATTCAACGTTATAATCTAACAAAATGTTGAAAATGAACTAAGACGAAGATAAGAGAAAATAAAAAGGAACAAAGACTCACTATTTGCTTCCATTTCATCGTTTGCACCAACTCTTCATGATTGAGATGCGCGTCTTTGCCGCGTGATTTGATTTTTTTCGGAAGCTCATTTTGATACCTGCAAGCAGAAAAGGCGAATCATCAATGAACAGGATAATGGATGTTCAGGATATGCAAGATCACGATCACTCGTGCCAAGTAATTACATAAGCAAAAGGAGAAGAGAATACAGGAATCGAAGATGATTAAAAATGCAGCCGCAAGAAGCGGTTTTCCACCTACAGGACAAGCACGAGGATGGAACACGAGCAAATTAGGTACACCGTTGTGCATTGAATTTCCTCAAGATATTTGCTATCGCTGGTTTAAAATTTTCATTCTTAACGCTAGAATAAATCAACCTTTTGTATGTTTCGCATTAGATTTTCAAAGCCAAGTGGAACTTCCGTTTCTGTATGGTAAATCGTTTCAACTTCTAACCTTCCACCGCGGTATTTCATTTGATTAATTCGACAATCGGTTACGATACTCGTCGATACACACGTTGGTCGAGCGAAAACCGCGCAACCGCGTGCTAGCTAGCTTCCATAAATTTCAATGAATTTAAATAATAACATCGCGCAAGGAATCGCCTTGAAAAAAAGTTGCACGAAGAAATACTACTTCAGGATACCTTCTTAAACAAGAACATATACTTTTTTAACCACCAACCGTGGTAAGTTTAAATTTTTCAAAGAAGAAAATAGAAATTTATTCTTTAAAAAATTAAATATTTATGAAATTGAATTAACTCTTCCTTGAATTCGGTTTCGTTTGGCGAAAAAGGTACATCTCGGTTCAGGTAGCGTTTCCTTCTTTTTTTTCTGCTCTCTTTGTTCCTATTATTCGGGTCATCGACATCGGGACAAGTTCTCTGTTCTACGGAGGAAAGGTTGTATCACGCAAGTTGGAGAGAGATAGAACGAGATGCACTCTCGCGTGCTTTTATTGCAGGTACTTTCGAAGGTCGGCCTTCGAGAGATCAGCTGTTTGGCTGAACAGCTAAACTTAGTTACGGACAGTTTGTATTTCATTCATATAATGCGGCACTTGGACACGCGTCTTTCTTTGAATCACCGTTTCCCGGTAAAACGATCTTAAAAGTATGCGCCATAGACTCTATGCTACTTAAATCTATAAAATTCTTCAAAAAAAAGAATAAAATGGAATTGACTTTCTTCGATAGGCTTCAGGTGAATACAAAGGCACGTCTGCCACGTGAAATTCGTTTACGTGAACAGAAACCCTAAAAATGTCACGTCGGTCGTTCGATTAGCATTGGCACAACAAAAGCTATTCAAGATTCAAAGAATTATGACAGTTATCAATTAAAACTCCGAGCAAGGAAAATGGCCCTTATTAAAAGAAATTGAAAATTTTTAATTCCGTAGGAATTGTCCGACGAAACGTCGAAGAAACAATCGTTCGAGTGTCGTAACGGTGTAGTTTCTTTTGAACAGTCTCGAAACCTTTTCAGGACAGAGGTTCGTGCAACCATTTTGAGAGGCACTCGCACCACGCAACGCGAACTCCTCGCAAAAACAACCTTGACACAATCGCCGTGCTTTAACGGCGAGGATTGTGCCTAACTAGAACTCTACGCGTCTGACATTTTCCTCTCTGCTTTACCTAACACCACCCCGCCCTTTTCATTTTTTTGCTTTTCTCTTTAACTTTGTAATTCGCAACTTTGTAGACATTTTTACGAAGCTGAATTAAAACCTGGTAAAGTGTCCTTGGCAAGTGGTAACTGTGTTTTGCAATATTGCAAATTTTTCTTCTTCAACCGCCTCCGAAGTTGACCTTCCATAATTTTAAACAGTATTTTTCGGACCATTTTTGGAGCCATATTTCGGACTACTTTAAGGTGACAATTTTTTTGTCAAAATTCAATTATTCTCACTAAACTGTGAGAGAAGGAAGGGAACAAACGGAACGTAATCATAATGAAAGAAGAATAAACGAACGATGACCGCAAATGACGATAACCGATATATTCGATTGCTAGCCGTGTGACCCAAATGTTTTTCATCGCTTTAACGAACTCGTGATTCAGCGAAAATGTTTCCACGAATTGAAGCTGTGCACCATTTAACTAGGAAAATTATTAGACAGAGCAGAGAGAATTTATATTTCAAAGATCCTTCTCATTTCCTCTGCTCCGATTTCTATCCACTGCATACCGGAAGTCGATGAATCTGGCAAGACGAAAAGGTAAAATTGCATTCGAACAAAGTAGGCTACTTGGTATGTCAAGAAACAGAATAATTGATTGGTAAATCGATCGAACTTGGAAAGTACTAAAAAGCTTTAACGCGGAATTTAACGAGCCTCGAACCTGCCTTTAATTAATTAAACCAGACGTGACGCCAGTGGAATTGAAGCTCTCGCCTCGTGGAAACCTCGTTGTCGCAGGCATTCTCTCGATTTAATAAAACTCACCTATATAGTTATTTTTTTCCCTAGTTCTAAAATCTGTACGCGGTTCGGCGAACACGTTTATCCGACTCCTCATCTGTTGAATAACTCGAGGAGACAAAAATGGAGTGATTTGTAAAGGTCATGGTATATTTTACCAGACAAAAAAAGTCACTATTGACCCTTTACACTTGAAAGGTGATTTTTAAAATATAGTTGAGGCACAATCCAAATAAAGCACGGTGTTTGATCGATTATCATCGAGGATCAAGGATGCTTTCGCTTTCAATGCCAGCCAACGTGAAATCTGAAATTAGAAGACTCGTTTATGTTGCGCGAAAATCAACCATTAAATTGTCCCTTGTTTTTTATTTCCCAGAAGCTTTCGAGACACTTTTCCTTGGTCGGTCGGTCGGTCGTCTAACGTAGAAAAAGAAATTGCGAAAACAAAAGTGGAGAAAGGTTCGTTAAATCGTGTCCGAAGGAAGCAAGGTAGTTTGTGTGTGACGCCGTGAAAGCGACGCCGGCGAGTCGCCTCTTTCACTGGCATCGTTGCCAGCGCGACGCTCGCCCCGAAATCCGCTTAATATCGACGAAAAAGTCGGTAAACCTTGAAACGGAACCAAACTACCTAGCACTTTTATTAAAAACCTTTGGATTTCTTTTGTAACGATTCTGAAACGCAGCGTACAAAGGGAAGGGTAACAATGGCAGGTAATAGAGGATCGTAACGGCAACGCCGAGACTTCCTCGATGAGGTGGCAGAAAATTCCCACATGAAAAGTATACGGTCGATTGTGGCGGAAAAACAATAGAAAATGTCAGTGATTTTTAAGAGAAAATTAGGTAAAAAGTAATAAATAAATAAATAAATTAATTAATTAAAAAAAAAAAAAAAAAAAAGCAGCACGTGACGCGACGGGCTCGTAGCGGGCCTAATGCGGTTAGTTTAGAAACGAAAGGCAGGGATGATTCGAAGTGACCGCCTCTTCGGGAATCGTCGTCGATCACTGCAATAGGAGAGAGTAAATATACTATCTAGAATTGTAACTGGTCCGATGAGGGGGCCAATACGGGTGTATAGAGATACAACATGCGGTATGCTGATGGCAACTGGCGCGCCACGGGTTCATTGTCCCGTGTGTGCCCGTGGTGGAAGCCCCTCGTTGGAAAAGGAGGGCCCCGTGTGTCTGTATCGGGCGTTAATATGTCGACGAAACAGAAGTATGATTAATTTTCGTAAACTTACCAGTTATCCAACTTGATCAGCTCCTCGGGTTTTTTCGTCTTTCGATCGGCTTTGAGTCTGAGGGCCTGCGGATAAAGCTTCAGTACGTGTTCGAACTGACTTGCTGTGCCCTCCGCGAAGAAAGTCGCTGTGTCTTTCACGGAAGCCATTGTGATAACTGAGCTTCGAGAAACGGCCGTTGGGGCGCAGCACGAGCGCCTCGGTTGCACTATACGCGTCCTCGTCTCTCCCCCTCAAGAGTCTCTATCTCTCTCTCCTTTCCCCCCTTTCCTCTATCGTCTTCGTTTAACGATGTCTCTCTCGATTTCTTTCCTTCTCCCTCTCTGGCGAAACCTCCGTTGCACCCCTCTCCGCGCGTGCTTCGGGAGAGGACCGACCACGCGAGAAATCCTATTTTACCCTCTGACTCGTTCGAATTCTCTTGGTTTCACCGGCGGCGGTGATACGCGACACACGCGTGGGACGTGTTTCACGAGGATCGGCGCACACACAGTTTGCTCCGGCGACGAGGGCACCGGAATTCTATCGACGACGATAGCACGCGTGTTAAACCAGACTTCACTATCTCTGTCTCCTTCTTCTCTCGCTGTTTTACGATTTCCTCCAAATATATTCAACACGATTTTTTACGTTTACGTATTAGAACGATGATTACCGGAATGGATTTTCAACTTATAAAGGTGTGATGTTTACGCGGAACGTTATACGGTGCAGAGCTACGAGGTCTCGTGCCTACACTCTTGTAAGGGAAAATCACCGTAGTTACACGCCGAGAACTCGCCTTCGGACCTCGTTCGACTGTCCCGGGTGGGGAGCGCGACTCGACGTCGCCAATAGGGAGCAGCACTGCTCGGCGTGTTTCTCGCTTCTTTCCTTTCCCCTCGATCCCTCCCTCTCTCTTTCTCGTCACGTCCTTCCACCGCTTTCCACCACCCTTATATTATTTGTACCGAAAATTTCAACGGTTGCGTTGCGTGCGGCTACTCACGCACGAGGATCAAAGTTACAGGACGAAAAGGAAACTTTATACCGATACCGATACCGATACCGATAGTAGAATGATGTGTTTTTGATAAAAGAGGCAACTTTGTGATCCGACTGGTAAAGTCGAGAGACGAAAAGGAGAACGTGCAATGGGAACGCAAAGAACCTCCTTTCTCCTCTCGAGAGTCTCTGTGTTCGAGCAGTCGAGGAGTGCAACGTGTTTTCCTCGGCGCCACACAGATCCTTCCTCCTTTTTCCCTCGCTCTCTCGGAGAGGCTTCGTACGAATGCGTGCGGTTTCCCCGCCGGATGTCCGCCAAGTATAGAGACTGCCTCCCCCCACTTCTTTTAGTCTTCGTACACGCACGTATGCACCGATCTACGAAGGAATACACACACGGTACACGCGTATGTACCTTGGATCGTCCGCCGCGAGGGACTATACAGGCGCGTACCGCAGACAGACAGGGTACGTACCCCTTCTCTTCTTTGTCGCTCTATTTACTCACGATCGTCTTTGATCCCGCTGTTTGCCAGGACTCGTCGTCGTACCGACTCCTATATCTTCGTGTCGAGCCGAAATACTTTGCGCTCGAGCATCGACGAAATCCCGTTGACGATCTCATCGACGACGGTGACGATGGTTACACGGCTCGCCTTATCGTAGCCTTTTTTTCCCTCCCGAGAAACGGCCTCGCTTTATACGTCCGCCTCCGTACGAATCACCACGTTCGATGGCTGTATACGCGCGCCTGGCCTGTCTCTGCTGCACGACTCCTCGCTGCTGTCTCTGTCTCTGTCTCTGTCTCTGTCTCTGTCTCTGTCTCTGTCTCTGTCTCTGTCTCTGTGTGCCTCTATTTCGATGCACGCGTCTGAGTGCGCGCGCGCAACTCACGACCGAACCGAGCCAGCGAGCGAGCGAGCGAGCGAAAGAGCGGGTAGAAGGCTCTAAGCCTTCACTCGAAAAACGGGAACACGGAGTTAGTGCGCGCTTAGGCAAAAGCACCGCGTATAGCCAATAGCTCGCTCTCTCTGTAATATGCTGACAGTAGTGAAACAGGCGGCCGACTGAGGGCAGCGCCTTCGCTGCCTTCTGCTTGTCCCCTTTACCTCTCTGTGCCCCTCGGGGACACAACGCTACCACCAATACGGCTGACCCTACTATCGCCCCTCCTCGTAGCGGGGATATTTGCTCCTTCTTTATCTCTCTCCCACTCATCTGCTTTGCCCCTGATCTATCTTTCCTAATACGTAAAACGAACGAACGAAGGCGGTAGATTACATTTTATCGTATTATACCCGATGCCTGAAACGTTTGTCGTTTCGACGACAAACCGTATTATTTCTCGCGCGACCCCTCTTCGTGCGACTCCCACGAACAGCGGACACGCTCGATACCTCCTCGTGAAGGCGCGTACCGTTCGCTCGATCGCGCTGGCTCGTCCGACTGGAAATCGATGCTAAAGCCGGGGTAGAGGCGCGCCAGTGGTGCCGTACCATGGCTGGCACACACCGCGTGTTTCACCTACACAAATACGCCTTTCGATCCATTGTATAGGTGTCTGTAGATGTGTAACACCGTTACTCTATACTCCGCAAGGTTAAATCGTGTGGGTAGAAGCGTTTGTGTGCAACGCGCGTCACGGTCTACCAATAGCTGTGTGTACGTCAGAAGTGGTTCGAATACGTACAAAAGGGCATATGTACAAGAGGCGACTCGCAACCCTTATGACGCGAGCATTTTGAAAAAGTTTGCGTGGCTTAAAAAACTCTCGGAACGGATAGCGATTGGATGGTTGCTAAAGTAGAGAGGGAAACGTGTTTTTATTTTACATGCTCGTAGAGGAAGATCGCGAGACGGTTGCCGGAGTCGTTGCGAAACGAACGATTTCACAATTTTGTAAACGCGACGACATGCGCTGTACTTCCGTGCTTACGAGCTTTAATGACGCTCGTTCCGCGAATTACTCTTTTTTCAAATTTTCTTTTTTTTTTTTATAACAGCTTTCCTTTCTCTACTTTCCACCACTACCATCATGAATTAAAATTAAATTTTTTGCAAATTGCATTCCCCTTCTTTGTTCTTGCAATCCGTTAGCTTAGCATTCCTTTGGTTTCTCGCAACTGGCCGTGACACTCGTGCAAAATTGCAAGAAACGGGGAAACTTATGAGCGTTTTCTTTGAAACTTTTGCCACATATCCGTATGTCGCACGAGGTATACGCATGTGCGGGAACGGATATCTATGTAGAATCCTAACATCCGTGTGGTAATGCTGGCGTATAATCATTGGTGAGTCAGTGTTAGTCAACGATACTGGTGTTCGTGCACATTGGTAGTATATCGTGGTGAGATCTCGCTTTGCCGACCAACCCATGAGTACCATGGCGAACGAACGCCTCACTACCAATGTCAGCATCACTACCACCGATGCACTTTATACATATAGCTAGCCAGTCGGCTGTACTCGTGGAAAGTGCCGAGCGAGCGCTTGCGCTTCGGGTAACTTTCCATTGTCGTTGCTTATGCTGAGTAAAAACGAAGAAACTTAACGAGAATCTTTACGAAACTTTCGACTCACGAATTTCTATCTTCACCCCGAAATATCAAAACTTAATAAAGCAAAAAAGTTTGAAACGGTACACGCAACCGACGTCCGTCATTGTGTTTTCAAGTTCGATCCGGGCGTCCAAGCACGAATTGTCTTTTCGCATCCCTTATTTCACGAAACAAAAGAAGAATTAAAAATGCTTTCAAAATGTTCTCGGATTTTCTGTTATTTATGGTATATAGTGTAGAGATAATAGCCGTTAAGGTTTATGGGTAGATTTTGAAAATCGAAGGGTCGCCAGTAAGGGAATTGAAAGTTTCACAATGGCGCAGGTAAACGGATATCCGAGTGGCTGGGGTTTTTATTGAAATAGTTTTGAAACCCTCTGCTCGTAAAATTTTCAGTCAATTTGAAATATTATCTTTTAATCTAGATGGTACGAATTCGGTGTTTACGTGATTTAAAATGTCCACTAGGAGGGGTGGTAATTAATACGCGGGGGAACGCGTATTCGGTGGTGAGAAACGAGCGATTACTGGGACTCAACCCCGTAGGTCCGCAGTAAGTGGTGGGTAATGTTACGGTTGGGAACGGACAGGCGAGGAAGACGAAGAGAAAGGCCGGTTTTCTTCTGAAAGCATTTTAGCAGGCAAGCAAAACCAGGCAAGCAGCCATAAGCCCCGCATCATGGCCGTCGACTCACCGTTATATGCCGAGCATCGGTGAAGCCCTCGTGCCCCTTATACAAAAGAGAGAGGCCCGACCCCCTCTGTCCCTCGGGCGCTTGAAATTCAACCCCGGCACTGTCGACCGCTACAGGGTTGCCAGATCGTCTAGTTGCCAGAATGCGAGGTTGCAACGTGCCGTTATCGATGCTCACCGCACACCCGGACAATCACCTAACCTCAAATTCAGCTGTAGAACCAGCGCAGCTGTTATCAGCGATGCTGAACTCGAATATAGCAGCCCTCTTTAAATTGAATGAACGCTTTTCAAAACCGGCAAAACTATCTTTTCAGCGATCGTTACTCTTTCATTTTCCTTTAATAAGATTTACAAAATTAGTAAATAAAATTGGAGTAATCTTGTTTCCTGATACGGTTGACGGATATGCATTTAAAAGCCACGCTATTGTTTGCAAAATCCCGGATACACGGCACTGCATACATCACCGTACATACGCCCTACAGATTACATGCCTTTCCGTGTTGCTTGTTTCCAAAGAGCTCCCTATACAACCCGCTAATTATTTGTCCTCAGCAACAGGTCACACTCTCTTTCGTGACAACTCTTTACCCGGAAGTTGCTCCGTGGTTCGTAGAATAATAATAACATCACGTACCGTGGTATCCCGGTTTATTTTTCTTTCTTTTTCATTTCACATTGCGATAGAATTATTACCATATGCGAAAGAGAACCCCTTAGGCATTATATCGAGGGGCTGTTAAAATATCGGTAGCTGTATTTTAACGGCTGAAATTTCGAATTTGATCGAACCATCGATTCGAAAGGGAAGGAATGACTGGCGGGTTTGAAATACGCTTCGCATGCCAACTATTGCCGCGTTCTATACCGAACACGTGTTCTTGATGCGGCATAGTATACGACATTGTCGCGATCTGACATGTGGGCCACGGTGGGATAGAATGTGTGTGCGGACGAAGCATAAGGCCAAGCGGCCGGAGGGACGAGCACAGAGCTCTCCGTTTTATCGTGAGCCAATCCGAGAGCTGTGACCTTGAGTAACTCTAGAGAGAGATATATTTAGATGTGAGCGGTTCGAGCTGCTGGTACTGCTGCTACCTAGCTCTCCCTCTAAAGTCCCTCTTTAGAGTTGAGGCTTGCAGAGACAGATATGTATGTATAATAACGAGGGAAGTCTCCTCAAGGTATACTCTGAAAAGAGTAATCGTTTAACATATATTTTTCTATAACCGTAACAGATCATTTTTAAATTTTGTAAATTCGGTATTTACAATTACTTGCAATTATAACGAGTAGCAGTGTTAGTTGATACTTGTAATTGGATGTGTCTCCTCGAGCTGATACTTGATCATAGAATTGCCAAAGTGTTGGTCAATTTTCAAACAGTTTCGAATAATTATATCCAGTATTTATTTTGTAATATCCTGTGGTGAGCACTAAACGATGAGCTTGAAACCAGTTCTCCTTGGGTGCTTCAAAAGAGTCGAGCTTCAGAGGAGGGTATTCAGGGTTAGTCGCCCCAATTTCCGTGAATCTCTCGAGCGTTACGGGACAATTGGGCATTCCCAAATTACAGTTGCTACTTCCGACAACTATCCCTTCGCAGGTTAATATACGAAACCCTCCCGTTGTATCGGATCTTCTTTCTGTACTAAATTATACGATGTTATCAAATGTACACACCGAGAGGGTTTAAAAATTTAAAAAGTAAGTTTCTCTTTGCGTCAATTACTCGAGGAATGTTCTTTCTTCGCTCATCATGAGACTTCAAAATAAACGTGGCTGGTTCAAAAATTGACGTAACAAGATAAGAATGATATCTTATTTCATCAGCATGCGATATGGCTGGGAAGAGAAGTGGATTTTGAGAACAATGATGTACTGTTATTTAATATCTTCAAACTTCAGTAGATCTTCCGTTGGAGTTCATTATTTGCATAACACACGAACGAGAATTTTTTCCAACTTTTATTCTCCTCTTCTCATTTTTCTCTTCGCTGAAATAGCCAGAACTGTAGCAGCAGAGTTAACTTCAGTATTCCATTGAAAAACACACCGTGCACTTGGTTCATCATTTACTCAACATTCATCGTTTCTTCAGGCAATCTTTTCGATTTTAAACAAATCGCACGTTAGTAAAAGCACATCACAGGTGTCTTTTGATTGCAATTCGATCGGTACAGTCAGATATTGGTAAAATCCGATGCGCGAAGCAACAAGTATCGGTCGATCGATCGGTTCGAATCGATCACAGCCGATTGCCGGCGACAGAACTCGGAATTTCCACCGGATCTGTTTACAGGAGACCAAATAGTTCGATGCAACAGGCTAACTGTGAGATTTCACTCTCTTACAAGAGAGTAGACGGGATCAGGGTGCGGAAGGGAAAGAGGGATGACATTAGAGCGAGAGAAAGATAGATCGTACGGGGGTTAAAAAAAGAAACATGAGCGAAACGAGAGTGATAGTAGAGAAAAGAGAAGGAGAGAGAGGTGGACTTTCGCTAGCATCAAAGCGAGACGGGAAAGAGGAGAAAGAGAAATAACAGGGATGAGAGAGAA